AAGAGCCCGAAAGCTCAGACAAGTAAAAGTATGATTCCGGTGATCGCAATGCATTCTACTTCTCTCTCTACACACTTATCTTTCCGAAACAGCGAATGTCTGAAGATGCCTTCGAAAATGATTTATGCTGACGGATCGGATATTACCACTGTAAGCTTGTTGCACACACTGTAACTCTCGCTGGCAAACGATCAGCAGAGCCGCTAGCACACGCCGGCAAACACATCTACCCACGCCTCTGCGAGCACCACATGGACTTTGTTTGCACTGGCTGTCGTGGCGGTGAGTTCGATTTGCCTTATAAGCACACCAAATAGCCAACACACTCACTCACGCACACACAGCGACGCGTTGACCTAGAAGTCAGAGCAGACTACTGTACAGGCGCCGGGAGTCTCGAAAGCTCAGCATGTATTCGCAAAACTCTGGTCAGCAACCCACCTGTCAGGTACAAAATACGGACATGGACCGTCAGATGCAGCAATATACCATCGACCTAGTAAATCGAGCGCTGACCAGGAACCCCGTAGAACGGGATGCGGCGGCCTACATTAAGAAGCAGTTTGATCAAGAGCACTCTAAGCATTGGCACTGTATAGTCGGGAAACATTTTGGAAGGTGAGTCAACCTGAACCACAGTGTGGCCCTGCATATTGCGTTGCTGTCATTCAGTTTACATTTCGTTACCTTGTCCTCTTTTACCAGTTAACCACTTGATTCATACCATAATGGACACCAATTTATGTTATGTTATCATACTTTCGCAACAGAAACAGACGTTTGCAAACTTTAAAGTGTCCCCTTCGGTAGATAGATTAGCCACTGAATTGCATTGTAAAACAAGATTTTAATTTAGCATCGAAGTAAATTACGACTTTAGACCAGGAAATAATTTTCCATTGCTTAATTTTAAATGGTTTGATGTAAAAATACTCTAAAGTCCAATTAATTTAAGTGGTTCTAACTGAAAATTTCATGTCATGAACCTTGACGTTTTGGGATTAAGGAAAATCTCTTTGTCGACGGTCAAGGCGATCATGCGCAGCAATAAGTGAGAACAATTGAGATAATTTAAGGCCGGAAATACAGTGATGACTGGCCATATGATTCTATCTTAGGGGATTACGCAAGTTAAACCCTAGCAACTGCGATCTTCAGGCCGAGTTTCTTAGAAGAAGAGAAACCATACAAGGCCAGAGTGGTGGGAACAGTTTTTTCTGTACAGGAAGAAGTGGAGAATAGGCAGGTGGGAAATGACTGTAAGACAAACGAGCAGTCGCTGGCCACAACGCCGCGTCTGAAGTGACGAGGGCTTAGGGGGTTGCCGGAAGCTCAACCAATCAGGAATTGGTGAACTCTGGTGGACTTAAGTTCTCACGGAGCTAATGCAAAGCCTCCCGTTAGTGGCTCGACCTTCAGACGGGCGTAGGTGACTGGTACATGCGCACTCGTTGGCAGCGGTGAGCCTTCGCGCGGAATGAGTCAGCACAATTTCTGATTTTGAACCATTGCGGATAGCGCTTTCATACCTCCGTTTGTAAGCAGCTAAAGCGATGTGCTGGTCCATGTGTTTAAATGGTAATCTTGCTCTTGGTGGTACTATAGCCAAAGCCTTCGATGGAAAAATTATATGCTCTGCCTTTTGAAGGCTTGAAAAACCGAGTAATTCGACTAACAGGTTAAGATTTTGTCCTGGTTCAGGAAAAATTGATTTTTGATAGTTCGGAAGCCAACATGACAAAAATATACAGGCTCTATCCTTGTATCGCGAACTACTGTATTCCTTATCATTAAGTTACGCCATGCGAATTGGACATGTGCGCTAGGCTCCAACTCGTAAGCCTATATTGGAGTTAACTTCTGGCCAACTAAGAAACTAACCTGCTCTTTGTACTTGACATTATTGCTTTGTTCCAACAAAATCCCACAACAGTAACTAGCAAAACAGTCTTGCCCATTCATAGGTCCTTCAGTGATGTACCTTAGGGTTCCTGACACAAACCCACATTTAACCGTCCACGTCAAAGTTCTCCTTCAGTTGCTCACTTTCAAATCTGGAGTTGTGTCAGAAAGCATGCGGGGCCCATTTAAAAATCAAAAACTCATGACCGTGTCTCATAATCGCAAAAATAACAGAAGAAAATCAGGCCTGCTTCCTCAGCTAGTATGATATTTGGGTATGGGGTCATTGAAATCCAGTTTTTGTCAATTTGGTAAAGAAGAAGTTTACGTTCGCCTCTTATTTTAAAAATGAAAATTGTATCGTGAATCATGTTATGTACGCAGCTCTCAATTGTGGGCCCACCCAAAGCAGGAATTCTGAATTAGAGAACCCTTAATTGAACATGGCATATATTGTGCTATTCCACTGATTTTTAACGTGTTGTGGTCGTGTTCTGATACAGGTTAAAAACCACTATGGTTTGGTTGAAAGCTGTCAGCAATAGGCAGCATATCGGGCTCAAAGCCTTAACCTTGGAAATTGGGGCATTTATGGCCAATGGGACAAGTTTCATATCCCCTGAACTGCTATTATTTGCGGAATTAAGGAATTAGTTATGCAAAACAGATTGTCTTCCATCGGACAAAAAAATTGACGATATGACACCTTATTCTTTTTCAATAGAGAAAATTTCAGCAGATATAGTTCTCTAGTCAGTGTTTTACTTCGGCGGGAAGATTGCTTCATGAAAAAACACTTAGGGCTATGCTCAAATTTCAAAGTAACCTGTTCTGCTCTGGTCTTCCTAAACTAACAGTATTCTGTAAAGAATGTTCTAGATTACAGCACACTGCATGATATAGGTAGTTGCCGTATCTAGGCCTGTGAACTTTTAAATGTAGCGGCTTTTGAGACCGTGCATTGATGTCGGAGTGATTGAGCTCGTGCGATCCTATGACCCTTCTTGTGACTGCCGTTGTCTCAGGGGATCCATTTGAGTGGCAGGTAAGGATGACTGATATGACCCGCTAATCATGACATAGGAATAAGAACACATCGTCCGTGTAATAAAGATCGCTATGCATCTAATTTCAGGAGACGTGAGTATTCCCATTTTTCAACTCTAACATAAACCTAAAAATTAGTCTTACTATGAATTCTAACCCTACAGTTAACACTAGACATAAAGTTACTCCTGAAAGTAGCCCTTACTAACCTTCACTTCCACTTTACCTTT